TTGGTATCAGTAAGGTTAAGGCACATTCAAAACAGGGCACTATAATATTAGGGCTAGGTGCTTATCACTTTTCTGAGAAACAACAGCCACGGAATGTGCCAATAGAAAAATTTTAAAGGAATCGAGAAGACTGGGAAAGAGCAGTGATGTCCCTGGATCTGTTCAGGCTAGAATAACCAGCAAAGTAATTGTTGCCGCAAAATTTTAAGACAAGATCATGTGTGCCCGGGATTTAACGTTTGAGAGACTAGGATGAAGACCGCTGTGGTTGGTAATAGGGCTCAGTAGTATAAGCAATTAAATGAGAAGGAACTACTTTTTGGAAAAAGGGTGTTTATATTGACAAAAATAAATTTGAGGGAGCAGTTATTAGAGAGGCGCCAGTAAGTAACGCGAACTACACAACGAATACCCTTTATTTATACACGGCGAAACAAGATGGAAGATACACAATGGAGAGAAAACAGTCAGGCGTCACTCGTATGAGCGCGTGCATAAAACTAAACAAACACCACAGGACAACCTGCTGGCGAGGGGCACTTATTGAAATGAGGGCAATAAATTTAATAATTTCAGTAACACTGTTCCTGTTTCCTATTCAGAGAACCCATTCAGTATAAATAACTAGTAATAATTATGTTGCCATTGACAATAATCACTCTTTTTTGACCCCACAAAATCTACCCTTGTCCAAATTTGGCAATCCGAACTTTTTCTTCGGCCCTTTTTTCAGGGCTTTGCTCACACCAAGTAAAATTGTCAAACCCTGGAAGCATTAATCTCGAAAAATCCAGACAATATTATTTCTGTTCATTATACTAAATTCATTACATGGATGATGGAAACCCCAAATTTCTGGGAAAAAAAAAATCATGCAATCTTGAATATACATGACATTGAGCAAGGTTAATTTAAATGTGGCTTATAACCCATGCACCAGCACATTATGTTTTCAGTTCTTTCCATGTAACTAGGGAAGGCAGCAGAAAACTCAGATAAGCATCTCACAATCATTTCAGGATTGTGGGCGATTTTCAAGACAAAAGTTTTTCTTGCAGAAATATCTTAGTGGGTTATAGATCTGTGCATCATGAAACTTTGAAGAATATTTTTATTCCTTAAAGAGAGAGCTTTTTCAGTACTACTTATATCAGCGAATTATGCAAGTTCAGCTCTTTTCAGTTCTTGCTGTGACTGGTCGTGACACGACAAGGACTTGTCATGACACTATGGAAGACAGCAGATAGTGATGAACATCTCACAATCATTTCTGGCAGAATTGTCCATGATTTAAAACAGACATTTTCCTTGCAGAAAGATCTTAAAAGGTGTGAACGGAGCATCAACTGAGATTTTAGGGGAAAATAGTTTTTTTTTCTTACGAGAGAGATCAGCTGGAAAAAAGAATTCGTTCCACCGCAGCACTTCGCGCGATATTTTTTCTTTCTTTTAAGAATGAGATGGGTTTGTGGGCCGTTTAATTTGTGAAGCAAGCAAGCTGCGAAATATGATACCTTGAGTTATTCAATTCAATTCTCTGAGGCTTAGACACATAGATGAGTTAATTAAGACCTATGGTGTAAGAAACATAATTGAAGATGGCAAAAGTTTCACTGTAAAATAGTAAAGATACTGAAATGGAAAAAGCTGCGGTGCGATCGATGTTATACAGAGTTCGACCATTAGCACTATGCCAGAACAAGAAAAGCGCTATAATAAACAAATCGTTATATTTAACAATAGTATTTGCCTCAGGTTCGGTGAATATTGTCCAATAATCCCCGAGATGACGTCAAGGGGATTTAATTCGACAGTATTCACCGAACCTGAGGCGAATAATTGTTTAACTATAATTTCAGAGCCGAACAACAGAGAAATTTCTATAATCATAACTGATTTTAGTAACATTTATTAACATTTTATTTTAACATTTTGTCTAAGCCCCGTGGAGCGGTTTCTATAGCATCATATAAGGAACCGCTCGACCAATCAGATTGCTGGAAACTCTTTGCTCAGCTCTGAAATTATACTAAACTTTCATACAAAACGAATCATTTTACCTGCATCCTTGTGGGGATACTCTACGGAGTACCCTATGGATTCCCTAAATGGTCTGGAGTACCCCTAAAAGTCATGAATTGGTCAGATAAAATACTTTATAAACACGGTAAATCGTTGTACATATTATCTTAATGTATTTTGATCTTGCCATCTGTATGACCGTCGCAGTTCGATACACTCCACGAATTGACCGCCATCTTAAATTTTTTTACATTAAACTGCTGGCCACTTCAAACTGAAGGCCTAATTGAAATCTGTGAACGTTTTTTTTTTTAATGGGCCGATTACCATTTTCATCCTATGAGCTTCAAAAGGCCAAAACTATGGACATACTTTATTCAGCAGCGAGTTTTACGTCTTTCAAAATACCTGTTTATGTAATCAGTACAAGGCCTCATGGGTTTCTTAATTGTGTGAAGCGATGAGGATAAAAGCTAGGACTTAAAAAAAGTAGTTTATGGGTTTAAACTGACCTTCTCAGTTCACCCATCTATTTGTGGCGAAATAAAAAATTGAGATATGTAAAGAAACAACAACAACAACAAAAAAGAACGATGGGTCAGCAAATACATCTGACTGGGGCGGGTAATTGATTTGGAAATTCGGTAAGCTAAATATTTTATCTCGTGCAGAACTCGAAACTGTGGGTTTTGTTCATCATATGGAGTCTTTTTATCTTCCAGTCAAAGGACTCATTACACAGCGGTAAAATCAAAATTAAGGAACGAGTAACGCTGAGAGCCCCCTGCCCCCCAAAGGACTTGACTGTATCGAACAGTAACAATCGGAGAGCTGGCAAGCTCAAAGTGTATTAAAATATGTACATCATTACGATTTACCATGTTTGTAAAGTATTATATTTGACCCGTAATACATGATTTTTAGGGGTACTCCATTTAGGTACTTCATAGGGTACTCCACGGAGCGTGGCTCCGCGTTTTGTCATCTCTCTTTGCCAATTCTCATTCGGCTTTCAGACGCCGGGCTGAACGTTAACCGAGAGAAAAAGTTCCGGTGAAAATAGTATTCATTGTGGCCAATTCAGAGTTTGGAGAGGTCTAAATGATAAATTTCCAACTTATTTTGGTTCAGTTTGTCCAATCTTTGCTCTTTCCATTTTCAATGTTTTCCATAAGAATTATTCGTGTCAAATACAGACTGTTCGTGAACTTATATTTATGACAATTTCCCCTTAGGCAAGGCATGTCTCGAACATTAAATTGCAAAGAACGAAGCTATCGATTGAGCCTATTTCCAGGCAAGTTTTTAAGCTTCAAGTTAGGCTTCCCCTCTCTCCATGATCAGTAGCAAAATGTTCAGTTACTGATATGCTTATGCACATCGACAATATGATACTCTACCTGCCACATGTCCAAGAGTCCAGACCAGAAATGCACATAAATACATGAAAAATTTCATTCTTAGAGAGAGATGTGTCTGATTCTCAAAGGGCACTGCTAAAATACTCTGAAAATTAAATATCTTCCTGTCTCATCAGAAAGTGTACTAATGGATTTAGTTCAATGTCCTGTTTCCCAAAGCGTTATTCCTAAATATGGAGCGGGTCAGCACACGAAAGGGAAAGGAGTGGTGGAGCGATTAGATGACACGCTGCGGGAAACAGAGATGCAAATTTTCAACAACAAGAGAAGAACAACCATGTCAAAAAATATATCTACAGAAAGGAAGGGAATAATGGGTATAATTGATGAGCCGATCTGAGGAAGTGGGTTTTAGTTGACCTAGCGATATCAGGATAGGATGGGCATCATTTTTATAATCACGTATTTTTGAGTCACACGTTCCTGTATCGAGTTTGTTTTCAGCTTCAATTTCAAGGATTTTGATGAAAGACTCAATTTCGACAATCAACTAAATAATTCAAATTGTTTTATTGTGTTTCGTGTTGAATATGTCTAAACTGAGAGAACACAAGGGCTTTAGGTATGTACATTTACGTGACGGAAACAGATAGATAGAAACAAAAACTTTCGTCCCTCAGATGAGATCCTCTCACAGCATGTATCATATAAATATAATTGCAAATGTTGATAAAGAAAGTAGAATAGAGGTGCATTGTGGGTTGATTATTCTCTCGGGCTCTCTTCATGTGACTCCAGCGAACCTGGCTTACTCGGTTTATGAGATCTCGCCTCGCCCCTCTCTCCTTTAAAGAGATCAGCGAAGGTGAGCAAGCCTGGTTTTTAACGTCACGGTCTTTACATAACTTATACTTCGGTGGCTGCTGTGGCAATTTTCCCCGTCATTGTAAACACCGGAACATGGTTGACAGTACAAAATTGAAAGGTTGCATTTCCTTCAGCTTGCTAACTGAGCTGAAATAATTTCTCATTTAAAGAGTCCTAAAATGGGGTGAAAACCCAGCTCTGTTGCCGGGATGAACTTTTCCATATACACCGAGAGAAAGATTCGCCCCATTACCTAAGCCAAAACGCAAGCGGAGCTCGTGTCAAAGGGACCGTTTAGATCCTCCGAGTTGTTATTGTGTGACGGGGATACAGCGTTGAAATGTGTTGCATGACACATATATGGTCGATAGCCAGCCGCTTTTGGAAAAATAAGCTCACGCTCCTCTAAAGATTTAATCGTGGGTTGAACACGAGCAATGGACGGAAATCGAGCTTAGGTGATTGTTAACAACATCAGTAACGTGCGTGATTCATGCGTTCAATTTGTTCAAGTCTGGTCTGTCACTGTCTATTGAAGGTTTCATATTCACAAGTCTTTCTGAGATGTGAATAAAACTGCAATGAAGCATCCGGGCTTTGCTATTATGTTTGAATAGGGCAGCAGCCTTAATGGGTCGTAGTGTGGGGTTCATCGATAACAAAGGCTTCTTCTTCAGTTAATTCTTCAGTTATTTATTATCGGTTTTTCTCCACTATTATCTCTATTGATAAAATACTGTATGCATATTTTATTCATTTATACTTATATTTAGCCAGGGGCATTCAACTTAGCAGGGCTAGTTAAAATGGGTGGAGCCCTGACACTACACAAAACAGAGACATTAAATGTGTTGAACCTCATTCACTCATTCATCTGTCTATTCTATACATTAGGAATTGAACTGTAAATAATTTTAACTCTATGTAGCGTAGGTAGATTGTAATGCGTGAACGGTGTCCCTAATTAGTTTTCTTCAAGCTAAATACAATTGACACTTTAATAGAGTCTTAAAACAATACTCTTTTAAAACTTCTATTGGCCCAGACACCATGATAGATCACCCGTAACAGGAAAGATATC